CCCTCTGCTCTCCCCCACCTTGTCCAGTGTTTGTTTTCCAAGTGCCTCCCATCGAAGAGTCCTTCGATGACAACAAGCATTCGCTGAAGCCCTGGGACACCAAGAAGGTGAGTAAGGAGGAAGGACAGCGAGGAAGTCACCCCCGTGTCCCCCTGCCCCTGCTGCCTCCTTCCTGCCCGCCGGGCGTTGCGACACCGGGGTGGCTCTGCCTCCTTCCTGCCCTCAGAGCTCCGGGGGGAGCACAGGTTCAGCATCACTTCACTCCTCCTCTTTGATTTTTCACAGCTCTCATCCTCCTCGGCCCGTCCACGATCTTGTGAAGTCCCTGGGATCCAGTAAGTGCTGGGCTGGGCTGTGGGGGGCGGCTGGGCAGCCTGAGCCCGCTGACGGCTGGGGGGGAGGGGGCGGGGGAAGGAGCTGAGGCTCCCACTGAGCGTGTCTCTCTCTTTCCCCCCCTCACCCCCAGCATATTTCCATCCCCGGATCAACCTGCCAACGTCCCCCTCATGCCCTCAGCCCTCAACACGGGCGGTTCTCTTCCTGACCTCACCAACCTGCACTTTCCCTCCCCGCTGCCCACTCCTCTCGACCCTGACGAGACCACCTACCCCAGCCTGAGCGGGGGCAACAGCACCAGCAACCTGGCCAACACCATGACACACCTGGGCATCAGTGGCAGCATGGGACTGGGGACGGGCTACGACTCGCCAGGTGAGGGCTGGTCCTGTCCTGCTGCTGCCAGCGGGCAGGGAGACACTGGAGCCGATGTCCTGGGGTGGTTGGACCAGCTGCCGAGATCCACGGGGCCGGTGTGGGGAGCTGAGAGAGGAACCCCCACAGTGGGGAGCTGAGAGAGGGTCCCCCACGGTGGGGAGCTGAGAGAGGGTCCCCCACGGTGGGGCCTGGGGTGGTCAGAGCCTCCCAGTGTCCCAGTGCTGGCTGTGGTGGAGATTGGCTTCTCTGGGCGATCCCAGACTGGGATGGAGATGCCTCAGCCTGGGAGCTGGGTGGGGTCTGATGGTGTTGGGTGGTCCCATGGGGGTGTGGGATGATGGCACCTCAGTGGGGAGCCCGAGCTGGAGCATCCTGCGCCGTCACCCGTCCCCTTCCCGGGGTGTGTGTGTGTTTTTGTCTCTGTCTCCATCGTTTTGGTCGCCTCTGTCACCTTCCATCCCACCCGGGGCAGATGGGGAGCCCCAGCCTGGCCCAGCCCGGGGAGGAGAGCCTGGGGTACGGGGTGATTCTGGGGGTAACACTGGTGTCTCTGTTGTTTTTTTTATCCCCACAGGACTTACCTCACCTATGCAGAGCTCACTGAGTAACCCGTACCTGAAGTCCTCGCTTAGAAATATCCCTGCGCAGCCCCTCTCTCCAATCCTCCCTCAGCAACCCCTCTCTCCAATCTTCCCAAAGCAGTTCCTCCATCCCTTCCTCGCTTTCCAACCAGTCCCTGCCTTCCTCCCTCTCTTCCTCGCTCAGCAATCCCTCCCTCCCCACGTCTCCTCGCAGTCAGCCCATGCAATCTTCCCCCAGCAACCCCAGCCTGCCCTCCGGCTTGAGCGGCTCTTCCTACGCTCCCGTGGTGCAGGCCTCCATAAACACCTCGCCCCGCCGAAGGGTCCCGCTCAGCCCCCTCACCCTCCCAATGGGTGGAGACTCCAGAAGGCAACACCCCAAACAGTTCTCACCAACAATGTCACCCACATTGTCCTCCATCACCCAGGTATGCATGGTCCATCGCCTGCGCCGGCCCCGCGCCGCGCGCTCGCCGCCTCCTCCTCTTCCTCCCTCCACTTCTTGTCTCGTTTCCATCCTTCATCTCAGCCACATGCCAGGGAAGCCCCTTGCCCCACCCTGTCCCAGCCCACGCAGCTCTGTGTGGTTGAGGATGAGGGGGGGGGGATATGGGGTTCCCCCCACCCCGGGTTCCCGCTCTCTGGGGTGTGCTGGGTGCAGGGGTTTCGCACCGGGGATGAAATTTGGGGTCTCTCAGATTACTGGGGTCTCCCCAACCCGCTGCCGGTGCTGAGGGATGCACCGGGGGGGTTGGCAGAGATGGGGGCACCAAGCAGAGGGGCCAGATCCTGGTGGGTGCTGGGGTGGGTGCAGGCTGACCCCCCCCCTCTCCCC